AATGGATGAGGGAAGGAAGGAAGGAATGGATGAATGAATGGATGGATGAATGAATTCCAGTACCTATTGTGGGCCAGGCACTGGGGACACAGCAGTGATCAAGACAACCAACTCCAGCCGTTTGAGAGCTGATATACCAATGGGAGAAATGGACAAGCACAAGATAAATAAGAAAAATAGGCACTACAACACAGTGCGATGTGTGCTAGGGAGAAAAATAAAAAGGAAGGGGGTCTCTGTAGGCTCCGTGCAAGTATCGCCCCCCCCATCCCCACCCAGAGACCAGATCCCATTTCCTTTTTCTCAACCTCATTGGAGGATGATCCTAGGGCCTTGTGAGCTGGGGGAGGGGGGGAGGTAAGCAAACAAAGCCAGATTGCACTGCTGAGCGCTGGCTGCGTTTGCTCTTCTCATGATCAATATGATTGCGTTGGTTCACGGTCAACCTCTGAACAGCAGCTCTGGTTACTATTTCCTCTCCCATCCCAAGTGCTTAAATGTTTCCTTTCTTTTTTTTTAAGGATGTGCATTTTTTTAAACTTTATTTTTTACTGTTCAAAATTTACATCCAAATTAGCATCTAGTGCCACAATGATTTCAGCAGTAGATTCCTTAGTGGCCCTGACCCATTTAGCCCCTCCCCCCTCCCACAACCGCTCCAGTAACCCTCAGTTTGTTCCCCATATGTAAGAGTCTCTTCTGTTTTGTCCCCCTCCCTGTTTTTATATTATTTTTGTTTCCCTTCCCTTATGTTCGTCTGTTTTGTCTCTTAAAGTCCTCATATGAGTGAAGTCATACGATTTTTGTCTTTCTCTGACTAATTTCACTTAGCATAATACCCTCCAGTTCCATCCACGTCATTGCAAATGGCAAGATTTCATTCTTTTTGATTGCCGAGTAATACTCCATTGTATAGATATACCACATCTTCTTTGTCCATTCATCCATTGATGGACATTTGGGCTCTTCCCATACTTTGGCTATTGTCGATGGTGCTGCTATAAACATGGGGGTGCATGTGTCGCTTTGAAACAGCACACCTGTATCCCGTGGATAAATGCCTAGTAGTGCCATTGCTGGGTCGTAGGGTAGTTCTATTTTTAGTTTTTTGAGGAACCTCCATCCTGTTTTCCAGAGTGGCTGCACCAGCTTGCCTTCCCACCAACAATGCAAAAGACATCCTCTTTCTCCGCAAGGGATATGCATTTTTTAATTAAAAAAATTTTTAATGTTTTTATTTTTGAGAGAGGGGGGGCAAGCAGGGAAGGGGCAGAGAGAGAGGGAGACACTGAATCTAAAGCAAGCTCCAGGCTCTGAGCTGTCAGCACAGAGCCCGACGCGGGACTCAAACTCACAAACTGTGAGCTCATGACCGGAACTGAAGTCGACACTTAACCAACTGAGCCACCCAGGCACCCCTATACGTTTCCTTTTTTGATCAAACACTTACCTTTAAACACTATTAACAAATACAA